TAGATAGATGGATGGATGGATAGATGGATGGATAGATAGATGGATAGATAGATGGATAGATAGATGGATGGATAGATAGATGGATAGATGGATGGATGGATAGATAGATGGATGGATGGATAGATGGATGGATGGATGGATAGATAGATGGATGGATAGATGGATGGATGGATAGATGGATGGATGGATAGATAGATAGATGCAGAAAGATATGGCGAAGTAAAAAGTGCCCAGACAATTAGATGCACCAAAAATCCCTCATTTCAAGGGTTGGCTCACAGATACAAAGCAGAGATTCAAATTCAAGTTCTTTTACAGGACATGAGGTATCTCATGTCTGATGTTCACTAAGATTACTGAAAAATGTTTGACTGTGTTAACAGATGACAAAGGGAGAAGCTGAAGGTTGAAGAAGAGAAACAGCAAATGCAGATGTTGCCATGTAAAGAAATTCACGATGTGATCCATCTGTTGGTTGGTTCACCTTTCTGGCTCAATAACCGTATGCAAGTCTCTGCATTTTTGTATGCATGTGTACTTAATAGCTATGGTAATACAAGACTTTCAAATGAGGCACATCCAGAGAAGCCCAAAAAGACATCATCATTTCTGTCCATGAGCAAACACTCAGCGGACTCCACGGAGGTGACAAAATGAGTGCTTGACTCCAATGCATAAAGAGGTTTTATTACAAAACATCTTCATTTCTGAGGATAATTGAGGGCTTGCAACGTAATGATAAGCTGTTATTAAAGTCCTTAAATTCCCAGATTTATTACAGCACGCTGGGTTAGCCAGTCCTTTCTCGGAAGAATATTAATTGTGCTTCGAGTGCTCAGGAGAGACTGGGCACTCGGGAGTGAGCTCACTGTCAGTGTTACTGGAAGGGAAAAGGCTGTTTGGATGCTGTTGTTTTGACACGAGTGCAGGAAAAACTAAGCAAAGAAAGAAAGAAAGATCGGCTTTCTTTAGACAGCAGTCATCCAAGAGCTGCTACAAATCTGTGTGTGTGTGTGTGTGCAAGTTTGTGTGGGCAATCACATGAGCAGCTGTCAGTGTGCATGTCTGAGGGGTGTATGTGGCTGTTAGGGCTGTGTTGTGACACATGTAAGGCAGGCTACAAATTGCCTGTCAAAGAAAGCGCCTCTCACAAAGCGGATGGGGGAGTGACTCATTTTGTGAAGATGTGGATTATTATTAAGTGTGTGTGTGTGTGTGTCTGAGAGAGTGAGTGAGTGAGACACAGACAGGTACTATATGTGTAATTGTCAGAGCTAAGTCAAAAGTGTGTAAAGACACATATTCTGATTAGCCATCTGTTCTTCGGAGCCTCATCAGTGTACTCTGAAATGCACAAGTGAGTCTGTACATAAGTTTAATTAAGATGCTGGATAAAAGCAGACTTCTGCATCACTGTAAAACATGTGCTATCCTGCTTTTTTCATGCCTTTGGATGACGGATTGCTACTGAGAAATGAGACCTTCCACGACCCTTTTGGTTTCCTTCAGCAGCCTCTGGAGGATTTCTATGTAAATGAGGATTTCTATATCATGTCCTGAACTCTATGAACAAGTGCCTTTCTCAGTGAGTAACACTAGCTAGAAAATTCAAGTTAACAAACTGTTCAACGAATGACTGGCTCCCAAGAACTTCACATAGAGAAGGAGAAACTTTCTGCTTCAGCTCTGCTAATTCCTCCAAACTCCTGGGCCTGGTCTGGCAATTTTCACATTAGTCTATTAATAATAAAGTAGCTCAGTTACCACTATATGGCAAACTTTATCCTGCTTGCTAATCTCATTGCTTATTAAATCATATGTGTAGAGTGACAAGTGATTGATTTTAGCCAATAATAAATAACTGTTGCTTTGTACTGAAACAGGTAGCCATATATCTTTGTTATGCAGCATGTATCATTGGTCAACTTTAGTTTCAACATGCTGATATTGAGGCAGAAACACTGATCTTTCAGTTAGTGTACAAGATTCATGATGTCTCCATGGCAACTGACATACAGATGTTTACTTCAAATACAAAGTAACATTTATTTTTCTGTGTATTAGCTAAATTTACACAGGTAACTCAAATGTAACATTTGCACATTGTTATGCTCATTACACTTACAATTTAACGGTCACCAGAGGGGGTTACACTTTAAGAATTGACATTATTTCCTATCTCGTGCACCTTTATCATTCTACACCATTAACTGAGGGTCAAAGATGATCATAACAAATGCCAGAGAGAGGAAATTGTTCCAGACATTTTGCACAATCTGCTCAAAGAACAAATAAAATAAAAGGTAGCAAGCAGTTGCTGCAAATGCTTTGTGTGGCTGTTCATTCCTTTGAATGTAAGGGGAAAGTAGTTTCAGTAATTTTCATATTAATTCCTATATTTCCACTTAAAAACCCCCATGGTTGATATTAATGTGAGGGCTAACGTGCCTGACCTGTAACAAAATGTTCAAAACCGTTCTCTTTCTTCTTTTTGTGTCGTTTTAAACACTGCTCACAATCATATGTAGCAGTAATTAAGCTATTTAGGTTTATGATTTATATTTAGATCAAAAGAAAAGATATTTGTCACCATCCGTGTAAAAGAGTTGACGATGACATGAGCCGCATTCAGTCTTTATTCTGAGTTACACCTTCCTATTGCATTTCTAATGGTGCCAATAATTTAATATGTTATCTTTCAAATTCTCAACTTCAGCTAACCTTCTGGACGTGGATATCATTAATAACAATGATGTCCTGGAAGTTATGGAGAGCCTCTTTAAATACAACAAAAACCAAACACATCCAGACTCTTCCCTCTCTTGCTCTTTGCTGCACTTAAACCTCCACAGCCTGTCTTTAGACTTGGCTTCAGCCCCAAACATTTTAGCCCTTAGATTGGTGGAGGAAAGGTGTAGGAACTTGAAAACATCCATCTGCTACAGATCGCTGATTGAAAAGAAGTCTTTAAGACACACCAAGTCGACTTCAAACCCTCTCTTCGATTTACTTGAGAGTGGACATTTTTCTCAGGTTCTCCTTTGGGCGGCAACAAACTGATTGGAAACTATTAGGAGACAAGGGTCCATTTTGGGATCTTATTGTTAGAGGCTGACAAGCTTTTTTCTGCCCAGCGGAGCCAAGTTTTATGCCTCTCTCTACAAAGGATCCTGAAAAAAAGGAAAGGCTTTGAAAGATAGCTGACAAAAGCCCGCTGTCCTCTCCAACTCTCCCTCATCACGTCTCTCATTCCCACCTCTTTACCCCTGACAGAAAAACATGTTCACTATCTACTTGGAGGAAAACGGCAATCAAAACCAACTTATTCTTTGCTTCCTTTCTCAAACAAGTTGCTCACAGACAAGAGACACCTGTTTACTATGATGTAGTCTTTTTTTATGGTGAAAACGAGACAAATACTCTTCTCTCTCATTGCAGAGTTCACTTGTGTTAACACGAAGTATCTTAAGCATAAAATACTCCAAAACAGAACTCTAGTGCAAAAAAGTAAGAACTTGCACACCTTTACCAAATTATTAATCCCCATAAGCAGTAGTAGCAGTATAAATGGCTGTATATTACAATCTCACTATGTCAAATATTAGCCAAGGACTCCTTTGTAAAAGCAACCCTCACCTGACTCGGGGCCCATCACGCAGCGGTTCCCGGTGGGTACGCCCACGGTTGGCCCCTGGCAGGGTGCGTCGGTTGGCAGTGGAGTAATCAGGCTCCAGCTCATATGGCTCTTCTTCTTCGGGGCCCAAGCTGCGGCGATCATCCTCCAGACCATACGGCTCAGGCTGGAAGCGTTCTGGTTGTGAGCGGTTCAGATCCACAGTGCTGCTGCCCATAGGCACCTGGGGCTGCGCCACATGGCCATAATCATCCTTTCTGATAGGCAGGGTGTAGCTATTCTCCGGCCGGTAGCTATTAGGCATGTACGGGTACCGCGGCGGCCGGTAGTTGACGCCGCGAGAAAGACTGCCGTAGTTATCCGTCAAATCGGTGTAGCCGTCATGAAGACCGTAATGGCGAATGTACTGGCTCTCCGGTGTCTCTCCGTATGAATCGTTGTAGGAGTTGTTGTAGGAGCGCGTCAGGGTTGAGGTCGCTTGAGGCGTTATGAAGCGGTCGCTTCCATTCTTCAGGTATCGCCGGTCAATGGAGTCGGTGTAGCTGCCCAGCGGGGACGTGCCTTCAGGCAGCGGCAAGCCATCGGGGCCGAGGGGCACCTGACGGACTGTCCGAGTGGTCACCGTCTTCACCATCTTAGTCACCTGCACGGGGAAACAGATACACACCGTCAGACAGCGTAGAACAATGTTACACCAAACCTACGCTTAGGTTTAAATACAGTGGTCAGCTTTAAGCTGAAAACACACATAATAAATGTGAGCACTTGGAAATGTTAAGGTTTAACTCAATCTTTAAACCCTTATGCCCAAGAGGCAGAGTACTAACTGACCAATATTCAATTTTCAGCCTGTGTAACACGTTGATGGTTAGAAAAAACGATCTGCTTTAAGACAAACACTCCAAATTTAAACCCCAGATGCTGTGTGCACACAGGAAGTGCAAATTCAGGCTGAATAGTGCTGCAACTGAGCCTGATGGAAGTTGTATAGCTCCACTGGACCTCGAGTCCCGAATGGCTCCAGATGACCAATGTAGCATCACAGTCCACAGCTGAGGGACTGTTAAAGCCAGACCTGCGTGCACGCATTTCTCAAATTCGCATCATCCTTGAGCTAAATAACTCTGCTTCCTCTGCTGTCTCTGTGGTTTTCTGGCTGGAGAATGACAGACAGCGACTCCCTCCTTGGGCTCTCTGCCCATATAGAAAGCAATTTGCTGCCCACTGAATTTCGCTGTAGCTGATAATTGGCTATTTTGTCCGTGGCTATAAATTCATCTTTAAAATTAATGAAGCTGGTGAAAATTAACCGTCATCTGCAAGGGGCGCAGGTCTGATGTAGTTCACGTTGTGTTGCAGAGAGTTTTGTTCCCTTAAAAACTTAAAATCTAAGGAAAAAGACAAAAAAAAAAGATCCTGCTCATTCCTGATTCCGATGGGCTTCATTTTCAGCACCGGCCCTGTTAATCTGAAAACGCCGCCTTTATTTTCCCATCAATGCCATGATTCCGATTTTAATCAGGAGCAGAGGCACGTAATAATATCATGGAGCCACAATGAAGCATTAAACCGCACCACAAAGGACGGCGCCAGGAGCAAACGCATAAACCACATATCAGTTGTTAAACACGCCATCCTCATTAACTTGCTTGAAACAAATAGAAATTTTCACTGGCCTTGTTTCTTGGTTGCACTCTCACTGTGAGCTACATAAGACCGCCTATTTCGGGAACGTCAAGGTTCATTTCCATGTTTCAAGCGCAGTAATTACTGAATAGTTTGCATTTGTTTCGAACTGCACAAAGCTGAGGTGGAGTGGCATAATAACAAAAAACCCAAAGAGCTCATTTGCTTGAGTTACATCAGCTAAAGGATGCGCATGACCTTAGAATCACAATAATGAGCTTGCTTTCATCTTGTTCACTGTGGCAGGTCATAGCAGGACCTCAAGTCTAGACTGCTCTCGTGCTACTTGCTGGGCTTCGGTGACCCAACAAAAGCTAGAGGCTGAATGTCATACCGTGCATGAGGTGGCTACATGTGCACAATAAATGCCATTTGATTACATTTTTTAATATATACATTCCTTTTTCTTAATATTCCCTCAGATATATATGTTTCTTTATCATTTCTAGTATTTTTTAATCACATTTGGTTAATATTTGGTGCTATTTTATTCCGACAGAAACTGAGACGAGGGTACGTCGAGCGCTACAGCTTCCCAGCCTCGACACGCCCGGCTGCCTTGTACTAACACAGCTTTTTAGGCGATTTGCAAGGGCTGCAAAGGGAGCTATCGGATAGGTTTCAAACGCTCTTTGATGTGCGCTCAAGTTCACAAGGCGTTAAACCGTCACGCGCGGGTAGACGAGGGACCGGGGTTTCAGAAGAGCCTCTGAAATATGCTCAAGTGGTGTAAACAGCCCTAAAAGAGAATTGTTAAATTGGTTGCAAATATATATATGAATATGTAGCAATACTCAAGATTTCTGTGTTTGTACATGCTTGGAAAGTCACAGCAGTACTGAAATATGTTTAACAAAAAAACAAAGCAAACAAAAAACCCACAGGCAGTTAAGACACAGTCCTAGACTGTTTACCAAACTGTTAAAAAAGACAAACTGTCCACTTTACAGCGCTGCAAGACATTTCACAACCTCTGTGGCATTCACTATATCGGGCGCTTAAATTGACAAGGCGGCCATGGGTTAGTGAGGCAAAACTGAGGGAGTGATCAGATTTTTGAGCAGCTTGTGATTGCAAAACCTTAGATTAGTTTTCATCTTCTCTTAAAGAGAACGAGGAAAATTCAAACTGTTATTATATCTTGGGGAAATTCAGGCAGGCAGGGGGAGGCAAGAAACAACACAAATCACACAGGTTCGGCGTCCTTTACTGGGTCTGTC